AAGTCAACCGCATCACTGAAGCAATCAATTGAAAATGAAAAACGCAAACTGCGCATGCTTGTTTCAGAAAAAAAAATGAAACTGCGCCACTATGGTAGATGATACATGCAGCACATACGAAATTAAAATAAAATTAGTCAGCAAAATCTATTTTAGGATTACACTAATGAGGAAATTGATTTTTCGCATGTTTCACACATATCAAACGTTAGCCTGCAGGTATGTTCTTGTCTTGCTCGCTTGCTTAATCCTCGGCTCTTATGAATTAGAGAACTTCAAAAGGAAAGGCCTTACTAGTTGAAATATTAATTCAGCATTCTTCCTTTAATGGCATAATGAACTATAACCCTTGCTTTTCCATATTCTGCCGACGTCCATCAAACTGCTTTCTACAGTCATGACCAGATGTGAGCTCAGCAGCCGACGATGACCAGATTGTGCTGTAACCTCGGGAGAGATTCCTAATCTGACACACGAACTTGTATGGAATACTGTAACCTTTGGAAATGCCGACGGTAGAAGTATCGTCAAAAGGAGTTAGCATGAGAACCATGATGACTTGAGAAGCGGAACGGAAAAGTTAGAAAAAGAAAATTCAGGAGAGAAGAGAGGCTAAATAGGAATTGAATGTAATGATTAAGTGAGAAAAAAAATTCATTGAAATTCATTTCGAAAAAAAATCAAAGTTCTTTGACGTTGAAACGGACGGTTTGAATATAAAAAAAAACGGAACAATGCAAGGCATGTAAGGTCAGGAGTTGGCTGAATTCAGAAAAACGAAGGATAGCACACCATCAATGACATGAGCCATATAAGGATTTAGAAGTTTGGTTTTGACTTCGATAAGAATCGTCCTTGATAAGAATACATTTGTTTCTGATATGTTAGTGAAAGAGGGAAGTATATATTGAATGACTAATGATTATGATCTGTTTTGGTGATCAATCCTCTTCAGGACTTCAATAGTCCATTGCATTTAGCTCCAGCAGAGACTAGCTGGACCACCGTTGTTTCAATCCCGAATCTTATCTTATCTCTCTATTCTCATAATCTCTTAGTCTTCATATTAAAATACATAATATCTATCATCTCTTCTTCTCTAATTCTCCATTTCTTCTTCATTTCTCAACGCAACCTATCACCAGCCATCATCTACAGTAATCGATCCCATTTGTCACACTAATAATATACCTGAACTATCTCTGTTTTTTTTCTCTCTCTCTACGTTTTGTACCACCTATTTATCTCACTTTTTCAATCTGATTAGTTATTTTGGCTACATAACAATCAATGTGAACCCATGTTCAAGTAATGTTGTTGTTTCTTCGATCCTCATCTGATTTTATAGACAAACCATGATTGAAGCACACATGTTCATTCAAGTCTTCCAGCTTTTTCTCTTAACCATCTTCTTAGTCTCTCACTCATACAGTAGAAAAGATTTCATATTCTACAAAACCTCCTTCATGCAACTGACTTCGTAAAACTTCTTTTTTGAATCGTTCGATAGAACCAGACAATTATCTCTCATGCCGGCAGGTTCATTTCAAGCTTGGGTCGTCCCCAGACACATCCTATTTTCTTTTCACGAAAGAATAACATTACGAAATGGTCTTCTGTATTTTGCAAATATGGATGTGCTGCCTTCTTCCTCCTCCAGACTCCTACTACTTGTTCATACAGAAATTACCATTTGTCGATATACGGTATCATTAGAATTAATGAAAAATTTGATGCTATTAATCATTTCACTAAGTCTTTTTCTCATATGGTTAAGTTCAAAGCATACTTACAACTGCCAGACGAGCAGTATCATACTGAACATTCCAATCTATCTGTGTCCATCTTTTCGATCCATCTTCTGTGTCTATCTGGCTGTCTGTCTTTCTTATTCTGCTCCTTCCTTCAACCCTCCCATTTTCCTCGTTCATAAAATATAAAATCTTTTTTTTATCTTCACTAAACTAATAATTAATTTAACTTTTTTTTCCTTTGTTCCGATCATACCGGTTGTCCAGTTCATGAGACAAAGGTCGTTGAAGCTTACAGTCGCGCCTACCTCTCAACTTTTTGATTTTCTGAGGTGAAACAGAATGGAAAAAAACTACCGGGGGGAAGATAATGAAAAACTGATGAAGCTCAAAACTGATCGGAACTCCAAACAAACAACTCATCTTCCTCTCTGTCTCTTTTCCTCTCTTAAGCATATACTCATGACTATACCTCTCGAATGCATGCTGCACCTACTTCTCTGTTAGCATGTTTCTAGAATGAAACTACCTCTTTCACTTTTTTTCTTGCTGTAGTCCATTTCTCCCCGAACCTTGGGAGAGAAGGGAAAAGTGATTTTCTTCAATTCAACTGCATCTTATGGCTCGAGTGTATCTTCGTCAAATCCATCATAATCATTATGTATTTCGAAAGAAAAGCCTATGTTATGTGGATAAAACTAAGCAGAATAGTTGTCCGTTGTTCCAAATGAATCTTTTTTTCTCTCGATTCTCCTTTATTTTTTAAATCTTTTCATATTCTCGACTGTTCCTGTTTACACACGGCTCAATGAACACGACGTCACGACGTCTAACTACCGTAATCTAAGAAGAGATTCAAATTCTGAAAAACCTCAGAATTTAACATTCAATAAAGACATTACGATTTTACTCGAAGTTTTTATCTATTTTCTTTTTTGTTAATTTCACTCACAATTCTATTGATGATGGTGAGAATGCGTCGTCTGATAGAATCACACGATTGACGTTGATTATTCATAAGCATAACTGATTATCCATCTCATTTACATTGAAATTCCCATCTGATCTCTGAGCAGCGATTCCATTTCTAATCAGATGATATGCCTGGACGTTTTTACAATGAATTCTCTTTAAGGTCATAAATTGGCACGTCAATAAACACTTGTTATTGAGCTTCTTCCATCTAGCCTTCCATGTCTGAAGTGCATGATAAATGTTGGAGCGACTATTCCCTCAGGATTGTTTCAGAAGATATTCTGTTGTTTTACGGGAAAATCAGCTTCTATTGCCTTTTGCCAAAATGCTCTCACTTTAATCCCAAAAATAAATCTTCTGCCTTCTTCACCAATTTTTCCATCGCAGTTCTTGAACTTTTGTGAAGAAAATTGTAGTATTGCATTCTCCTTCTGCTACTTCTACTGGTACTGCTGCTGCTGCTTCAGCTTTTCCTTAACTTTGTCTTCGCAACACCAAAACTTTCTTTGCTGCGTGAATGTTTCTTCGTGCCTTTCAGAAGCTTTTGACAGCATAATCAATTTGTTGCTCAGCACAGACATTTTTTTGTGTTCATCTCTTCCATTGCTGTCTTAACAGTGACAACCAAAGTTGGCACGTGGATTTATTATGATAACTTGGCACATCTGTTATAGTTACGTTCATCTTTCTCAACTGATGATCGAAAAGATAAATAGTAAAAGGACAGGTTGTCATTTGTAGAACAAATGATTATTCTATTATCTTCATATACTCGTCGTCTGCCGGACTGTCGTCTGATTAAATGATTTACAGCAGTCCGACCTCATCTCATCCGTGAAAAATATCATCCTCGTCTACATCATCATCATCATTATCATTAACCATTTTCTTCGTTGACCATTATCTTCTCTCTGTCCCTCCCTTCCTTTATCTCTCCCTCTCTCTCTCATTCCCATTTTTTCTATTCGTACGTCTGTCTTATCCATTAGAGGTACTTCATTATCATCCGACCTTTTGACCTTTGTATTGGACAATGATTTAAAGCCTCATTCCGGGTATTTCCTCTTCATCATGTTTTTCGGAAGCTCACATTAGCTCGCTGTAAAGGAACATAAATAATTTGTGAACTTATTATATCTACATATATATAATGCATCTTGTTGACTGCCAGACGGATACACCAATTTCATGCGAAAAAAAATTATTGGAAAGTGCAGATCTGAAATGAGATAAGTCACTGCTCTCAATCCAAATTTGGCATGCAGCAATCAAATAATGCATTTCCTCCTCGTGTATTCGTTCCCACAGCAATCAACGAATTATTATGAGCTGCATCACATTTCCTCTTTATTCTGATGTAATTAATCATGAATTTCAAGAAATGTTAGAAGTATGTTCTCTTGATAGATGACCTTTCATTCAACTATTTCAATTGGCATCGCTTTTGATTTCCATTATGTTATCTTCTCGTTGTTAATGATGATGCTGGCCGTCTTCTTGCTTTTCATGCCCGATTTTCCATTCCAAGCATACTTCTCGTTATGGTCTCTCGTGCCGTCGAGCTTCATCGCTACGTTGATCAACTTCATCAGATTCTTTTTTCATTTGTTTCAACATTTTTTTGATTCTTCAAAGCTTAGAATCTGGATTTCACCTGATTCGTCTCTCTGTTCTGCTACAGTACTCTCAACGCAGATGGAGACTTGAGCGACTAATGAAATGACCTCTTTATACCTTTGAAGGAAGAATGAATTCATTTTTGAATTGTGCTGAAGACAATGAAATCAAAATTATAAAAATCAATTGTTCAGTCATTATTTCTCTTTTGCAACATAATTAATCGTTGGAACTTTAGGCTAGCCTAGAAGTTCATGAACCTTTCTGCTGCAAATGCTCATCTTCTCAATTTGCTCCATTTCGTTTCCTCCATAATTCATTTGAAATACATGATACTTTCATATGCTTATTGATTGTCTCGAAAACATGAAAAGCATGAGTCAGTTCCTTTTTTAGATAGTATACCAAAGGTTGCCGCCACCGGTTCCGCCTACTGACCAGCCATTGGCTAGAACCGCCTCTCGACTCCTCAAGCACCGCCCCTTGGCTGAGCGCCCACGTTCGGTCCCTCTTCCATCTTCCCTCCTGTCAAACAGTTGTGATTTATTGGTCCCGGCAACCGGCAGCTGATAACTGCGGACGGAAGCTCAGTTTTTTTGATCCATTTACGGTGCAGTATTGTTAATAGCTTGTTCCGGATTAATAACTTTACCATAAATGGTATTATACGTCAAAGAAGATCCTATGAAAATGAGCTGTACTGATTCATATGCTGCAGCATACTATCCCACAGCTGATTGGCCAGCACCATATACATTTGGCTATGATAGGACGAGGTTTGTTTATTATATCTCATTGATTTCGTTTTGCATACTTCACTTCGTGTTTCGCTTCCGTCGCCCTGTAGACACGGGTCGATCGCGAGTGTTATCAAGCAAATTGTTTCTCCAATGTTAAGCACCAGTTCATGAATATCATTCTCTTCTTTATAGTGCTCGTGATAATGGAATTGTCGCTTCCGCAACTGCCTCAACTCCTCCCATGTATACAACATTAGGACCCCCTTCAACATCAGTAGATATATGGAATGCTCCAGCACCAGCACATTTCAATCCACAACCTACTCAAAGTACATATAAATGGATGCACACAAAACGGGCTCACAAACCAGGTTTGTATCATACTCTTGCAACTAGATATATCATTATTCAAATCGTTCATCATTTCTTCTTATTTCCTTCTTTTTTCTATTTCTGTTAACTTTTCAAAACAAATGTTTGAGACTCGATCTTGAGGAAGCATTTGCTTCTTCAGTCACCTGACTGAAGTAACTTGCTTTCTTATTTTTTTTTCTCACCATCAGCTCAAGTGAAAATTCTTACTTCAGTAGTCGTTATGATGTTGAAATGAACTCTCGTTCTGCTTTGAATCTCATTCGTCTTTGAGATCCCGGAACATGAGAAACTGATTGATCACTCAGACTTCACGAAGCTTTTTATACAATCCGTGTGGTCATATGCTAATCAATAATTCTATAATTAGCTATTCACTATTTCTATCCTAACACTCTTTCCTCTCTTTATAAGTTACTAACACACAACAGCCATCCATATTTTGTTAGAAAGCAATCGTTGAATAACCAAACATCCAACTTTGTTCCTCCATATTTCTCTGTTGCATCTCTTACCGTACTCTTCTCCAGCTATTAAAATTCACTTGACATGTCGCAAAAAAAGTCTCTTTTTGAAGAAAAAAAAGCCTCAGTTTGTGATATGAAGAGGTGCGATTCAATAATCAATACCTTCTAGCTGTTATTGATAAAATTCTGCTATAATGGCCATATGCCATTGATGTTGTCAAAAGATTTTGATTGATTATCTTTATTCAGTTGATTCTATTCAACTGAAGAAGTTCGTCTTCCGTAAGTCCTGCACACTCACATACGTAGTAATGGCCTTTGTTGGAGCACGACACCTCCAGACATGTCGGCTCTTTTTGAAACAAAAAATCTTTTTTATTCTGTCTCTTTATTCTTACGTATTACAGTATTTAGTGAAAAATAGAAGTCTTGAAGGTAATCGAGTTGTTTCGAAGATTCAAAACGACAAGGACATTTTGGTCTTTGCCCAGCGATTCATTTGAAAACATTTCATACCGTAATCATTACTATATCATATATTTAACTTTTGGAATCTCTAATCAACAAATTATAATCAGTTTTCCTCTATTGAACTTTGCTCAACTAACTTCGCACATGGCGAGAACAACTATGGAAGTGTAGAAAGAACACTCTGTTCATGTACGTGCTAATTCATCTTTCTCAAGTTCAAGACATACAACAAAGAAATAAAACTTGAAGCTTCTGACACTTAGCATAGTATTTTTGGAGCAACTTCAGCTGTATGGCAAAAGCCTGTGTGAGAGCGAGAGCCTGACATCAGCGAAAGAAGGTTTGTGGTGTGTCAATCAAACAATCCTTCACCTTTTCTCTTATATTTTCTCTCCAATCTCTCTAATTTTACTAACATCTAGTTAGTGTATGTCTTCTAAATTTCCGAAATGATATGAAGACCAAGTCTACGATTACGGTAGTTTTGAAAAGAGTGCACTAACATTCTATTCGATGTTTGGGAAGAGGAAGACTCGTTTGTCATCAATGGTAGATTCCTCTCATAGCTTTAAGTTTTAACAATTTCCATTTTTGCTCTTCCTATACTTTTAAAAACAATTTGCACGAAAGGGCAACCCAATTAGAATGATATATAATGATTTGAGTTAACATATGTCTTTCAGTTCCAAAGAAGAAAGTCATCGACGAGAATGGAACGAACAGAACAAACTTCTCTACACATCAACTAACAGAATTAGAAAAAGAGTTTCACACCGCCAAGTATGTAAATCGAACACGCAGGACGGAAATTGCTAACAATTTGAAATTAAATGAAGCACAGGTAACTTATTAACCGAATCATCATATCATATAGATATTCTATTTAGGTTAAAATATGGTTCCAAAACCGCCGGATGAAGCAAAAAAAAAGAGAAAAAGAACAAGCTTTCCTGGCTCGCAATGTTCATTGTTTGGAAAACTCACCCCCATCAGATACGATATATGAAGAGCGTATGCACGTATGAACATTATATTTTTATGAAATACAAAATGTTACTGAAGTTAAACAGTGAGTTCAATCTACTTTGAACATTTATGTTAGTCTGTTCCTTTTCTCCTTTGTACTTTTTCTCCTCCGTATTTCACTGAACTTTCTCCCCTTACTTTTCTTTTCTTTCCTATAAGAACATTCAGCTATTGAATGGACAAAATAAAATCAGAAAAAAGTTGATAACTGTCCATAATTGGTCTGATAATAATTAAGAACGACATAGCCAATTGAACGACAGTTTAACCCAACTATCTCTTCTCTCTTCATCTTTTGCTTCTGTCATAGCCGTCTTTGTCGTTTTGTCTTCGTCATCCTTATGCGACAACGTCGCTTTCTACCGTATCCCAAAAATGGACTTACGTATCCATGCCCCTTTCCAGCTGCCTGTCTGACTGTCTGTCAAATTTTTGTTCTATTTCCGTTTTTTTCGTACAAAAAAGTCTCTGTACGAAATAACAAACTTCCTTTTCATTTAGTATTTCATCGAAACCAAAAGACAACTCAAAGACGACTTAGCTTGACGGAGATTTGAGATGAGAAATAGAAAGTATTCTCTTCCTCCCTTCCCCCATTCTCGAACAACCAAAACATAGTTGAAAGAGAGAGAAAGAGTAAGAAGAACTAGGAAGTGAATGTCAAGTGAATATGATGAAAATGTATTTAATCAATTACAACAAAAAAGAAGATTTTAATTCGGGTAACTATTTGTGGGAGCAAGTGATGATGATGTGTCTCTTCAGAATTATAACTTCAAAGCCTGTTTAACGCATATCTCTCTATGTTCTCGAACTCAACCTTTCGCATGTACCTTTTCTGCCTTCCTCCCCAGCTTCTCTATATCCCCCTCCCTCCAACTTCTTCCATAAAAACAATAGAAAACTAAATGAATGGTTGCAATCTCAATGTCAATTTTCTATAACATTATATCTATGAAAATCTCTATTGAATTGATCAAAGTTGCTCAAATATTGCATCTCTCTCTCTCACTCTCTCTCTCTCTCTCTCTCTCTCTCTTCATATGTTTAGTATTCACAGACAAGAATATTCGAAATTCGCATGAAGTTCGCTTGAAAAACCTCTTATTTCATATATAATTTCTATTTTTAATTGTATTATTATTGTGATCATCATATATAAATCATTTTCAAATCAACACTGTGTATATAGGTGGATGTCGATTGATAGCTTGTATGTGTGTGTGTGCAACAGATGTAACAATCTAAAAAACAAACACAGAAACATTCGTTTCAATTGATTGAGAAACTCTCAGAAACAGAGAGAGACAGAGAGATCGAGAGAGACAGAGAGAGAGAGAGTGAGAGAAACTTTAAAAAAAGTTTGTAATTAATAGACCATCTCATCAATCAGGATGAACATCAGCACATGTTCAATTGAACAATTAGTTTTTTTGTTTTATTTTTTTAAAAAGAAAAAGCAATTTGCCTAATCAATCATATAGTGCTAGAAGCAACAATTAGGATAGTTGTTCTATACTACGAATACTACCTATGTATGAATGTCCTTTTGAACGGAGAGTATGACATCTATTTTTGTAATACAAAAGGTAAGCCGCGTACGAAATAGAAGAAAGAACAGTACGGTAATCTCTTCTCAAAGAGATGTAATAGATATCTCATGTGTTAAACGTCTGAGTAAATGACTCGATCATGAATAGATGAATATCATGAAGTAATTTGATCCTATATAGTTGTAGTAGAATGAATGGATTAAAGGGTAATGACCGATTTGATTACTTGGATATGCTTAATAAACGGTTTGTTTAAGTAAATAGGACCGGTCAGTACATGGAGCGTTACGCATAGTTCCCATCTTAACCAGCTCAAACAATCAAGTAAGTCATCCGTAATATGAGATCACAGTTATTCAAAGGGATCAGGTCATATTTATGAAAGTTGATTTCAAGCTCTACACACTCATTTGCATTGTCTACAATCCGTAAACAACAAAGCTGTTCATCCTATGACAAGCTTCATTAGTAATGTCATATAGAATTCATATACAAGTGCGACATCATGCCCGCTTTATAGTTATCACCTTAGTCTATTAGAATAATCTCTTTGTTGTCCTCATCCCGACATCATTATTCTCAATTCTCTTAGTGCACATCCTCATCCACTGATCCGTCTAAGTCTCGTTCGGTTTGACAGTTGAGAGAAGACTAGTAGAACGGAGACAGTCGCCTAAGAGAGCAAAAGATACGAGTAGAGCAAGGCAGCTGGTTCAGTATTCAACGGCGGTACTTCTTTGAAGTACAGTGATGAGGTTGACAGTATTGTGTAGTAATGAAGTAAGGGTATAAAGAAAATCAAAGGGGATAATAATGAAAAGATAATGGGTAGTTAAGAGACAGAGCCTAATCAACATCAACATCATCATTAGATGAAGGAGAAACTACATTTTGCCGACATCACAATCAGTGAGATGCGCCTTACGTTCCCGCATTATCACACCTTCCTGTTTCAACCCTCGAGTCCATTAATAGGGAATAAGTCCAATAAGAATAAAAAAAATGAAATAAAGAATACCTCCGTTAGCTGTTGATCCGTGATGAACGCTGAATGCATTTGCTCTGTGCAACTAAGTCGTCCCGTTGACGCCAACTTTGCAAATGAAAAGTCGCTTTCCCATCAAATTCCCACGTATTTCACGTAGTATGATGACGTATGCTAATCATTCCTTCATCCTCCTTTAATACACAATTTGAATTCAAAATCATTTTCAAGACATCGATTTATAGAAAGCATGACAATGACAGGATATTTCATATTCAGTTGATTTTTGAAGCAAAAAAAATATTTCAAAGCCAATTTCCGCTCTCGGTCAGCTGTCAGACTTTTTCGTTAATAATACAATTATAATAAGCTATTGACTATCTCGAAAGGTCGGGAAAGGCTGAGAGCGGTCAAGTTGATGGCGAAATTGGTATAATTATACCTTGTAGTTAATGAGCTGAGTAAGGAATATGATTATGAAAGGCAAGCGATTTATTTCTAACATCCTAATAAGGAATAAGAAACTGGAAATAGAAAAAAAAACAAATAGCTTGATAAGGGTGAGAAATCTGTGTATACGTAAATGGTATGTTAGTATGGGCATTTCAATTCATAAGACATCATCGATCAGTTACAGTAAGTTGTATTTCCATATTCAGTATTTTCAAATCGCTCTGGGGATATACATATTTGAATTTGAGCGAGTGTTGTTGACCTGATAACAAACAGCTGCGGAATCTGTTCGCATGTTTAATATCGTTTATTGAAGTTATATAATTAACATCTTGTAGTATAACTTTACCGAACACAATGAGCTAATGATCTCCTTGTGCATTACGTAAAGGAAGCTTTGCGACTGTTTACATAACTGAGGTAATCGTCGAATCTCTTTATCTCTATGTTATTGAGATCCTATAAAGGTATTTTATGTACACTGCTTTGTTTTTTTTTTGAGAGAGAAAGAAAAATAAGCAAAGACAAAAGAATCGCCGTCTTGAAGGACAACAGAGCAGAAGACGGATCACCTGACAGAATGAGATTCCTGTGCTGTATGAGCCAAATCTTTGGATTCTCTAGTAATTGATGTAATATCTTTCTATCTATATGAAGACCTTTTGAGGAAGTCATTATAAGGATATGAGAGATCTTAGACAATTAAAGACATGTATGCGTCATCAGGGAGACGAGATTTCCAAAAGACAAAAGCGTGTGACTTGTCTTCGTTGTCGTTGGCATCACACAGATCTCTTTTATTCCAGCTGGGCACAGATTCCGCATCAAAGGCATCCGCTCGCCGATGAAACGGTCATCAGATTAGGCAACATGCTCTTCAATTGACAAGCTTATGATGAATTACATTTTGGTTATTTGCATAAACAGAAATATTACTTGTGAAAGTATTCTTACATGACCATAAAAGGGTTATTCGAGATTTATGATAATTAAGAAATGACTGTGAGAAATAAAACATTAGATAAGCTAGTTAGATGAAAGGATAGAGTATGTAGTCGAAAACGGTCGGAAATCGGATGGCACTAGAATAACGAACCTCTGAAAGACTATTACGAGATGGACAAGCTAAATGAATATGATGGATGGAAGTTATCAGAAGCAGGAGAGCATTCTCTGTCTGCTCCTCTAGTCATTCTCTCTGACTATTGTGCAGTGTTTCAGTAGCTTTTAGCTATTTCACTTCTCTATTTCTCATCGTGTATGTATGTCAACTGATAATCCTTGGCTACGGCTTTCTGTCTTTTTCTACTTTAGACTTCATTGACTTGACTGAAAAGCAGCAGCTGGAATCATCATCATTCATTCTTCCTGGCAAACTCGTCATTTGGGGACCGACAAGCAGAGACCACCAAAGTATTTCAGATATTTGAAGAAGTTTTTCTTTTCCTTAATTAGTTCAATGTGGTCAATCGGTTGTGCCATTAGAGAAGAAACGTGATATCTACAGTACAACAAGGTGGATGAGAGCTTTAGTATGATTGAACGAAGAATATGTATCTTCTCTCATCCTCCATCTAATATATTTTTTTTTCATCTTCTTACAAGAAAAAAAAAGTTTGTTGAGAAGCATGCGGTGCAGAAGAGTTTTAAACGAAATGCTGTGAGAAGCTGAGAAAAGACAGAAGCTACTTCATCAAATCATCTTGTCAAATTCTTATAATATCATTTGTTGTGACTAGAAGACATCATATGTGATGATACTTTATCGATCATTGATAATGGATAAGAAGACAGTTTTTCGAAGTTTCAAATGATGGATTGCATCACAATTGACGGCTTGACTAGATTTAAATGGAAATTTTAAACCCAAATTAGATAATCATCATTATGTTTTCTGAAGAGGAAAAGCCAGACTATAAAATGGAAGTAGAAATGGCAATAGACGAGCTTCATCCAATTCGCATTCACGAAAACCTTTGGCAAACGGATTCGATTCAATTTTCAAAGAAGTTATCTGAAATATCGATATTTTTCATTTCAATCTCTTCTTATTGAAACTAACTCGATGGTTTTGATAAGCAGTGACAGCAATAAAAGAAGTTTCTTCAAAATAAAAAGTTTTTCTACCGAGAACAACATCATGTCTGACAACATGAATTCGAGGTCGATAACGATGCATAGAGTTGACAATTATCTTCAAGTTAAATGCTGTATGATTGATTTGAATCGGAAAGCTCACATAGCCATTGTTATCCATTTGATTGTTTGTTAATTTGATTTTATCAAAAGAAGTTACGCCCTTCATCCAGTGAGCTCCAGTTGCTGGACTATCTGGATGAACGAATGTTCGACAAGGCAATTCAGCTTCACCTTAAGTACCAGATAATTCTTAAGGTCTTTCGGAAACTTAACTCACCTGGTCCAGTAGCTGTCCATTTGCTCTGATGGAATGAATAACGATATCTCTTGCTATCGAGAGATTCCAAATCTACCATCAGTGAGTAAGATCCCTTTGGATCCAAGCCTGTGATGGAAACGGCCAAAGTAGGAAACATCCGTCTGTAAACAATTTCTTTGAAAACGTTTTACCACAAACCGTTATTTTAAAGGCGACTATTGGTCTTCCTCGAGAAAAATGTTTTAGGAAGCACAACCGCTCTATAAAAAAAACAGAAGAATGAAAATGAAAATGAACAAGATTCTTGTTCGATTTTCATTGTTCAATCTTCATTTGGAGCGCGGTCGTGCTTCTTGTCAACAGGGAAATACAGACACATCCACTCTCGAATAAAACGTTCAGTTCGAAGATGGAGATGGTTTGCAATTACAAAATCGTACTCATAATATCAACAAACCTTCCACTTTTAGTCACTATCATCTCTGTTCCTAGAGCATGAAACTTTCTCCATAGCAGGCTACCCTCAAGCGCTACTTGGACACTATCGTTAGAAGGTTTTGGTTCTGATATGATTTCCTTTTTTGATGATCCTGCCGCATTAGAGAGAAGATATTCTATTGAAAACTTCTTCATCACAAGCACGCGATCAAATCCTCAAAGAAATTCATAATTCAAGTAAGAACGCAGGAGCGATGAGAAGAGAAAAAAGAAACAATATCGAGCTACTAAAAGATACTGGAGCTAATTTAAAACTTCGCACACAGTCTTCTTGATGACATCGAAATCAGATGCTGTCAACGTGATAGACAACCGTACTCCGATTGAAATCGTCTGTAGCATTAAACATCGTGGAAATTGAGTGATATTCCCGTGTCGAAACAAAATTTGTGAGAGCTTCTTCATCGTCATCGTTATTGTTGCCAGATGAGTCTACCACCAGATGTCTACACTCATCAGATTCACATCTATAAGCACGAAAAACATCGACCACCGACATACAGTAGTTTACTTGTGCATAAGACAGTGCTACTACTAGCTTTACCTATCAAGGTGCCTAGATTAATATTAAAGTGAATTGAGCTCTGTATCTAGCTAGACCGTACGTTGAACACCTACACTGAGTACGGCGACAGTCTTTCATGCATACACTGGCCTTAACACGTTTATACTGCCTAAATGCAGATTTTTATAAAACAAACATATCTTGGATATTAGTCGTTTTCCTGTGCTCGCCATGTTCAAATCATTATCCTAAGTACGGCAAAAGTTTATGATAATGATGGCTGTACTTGCGTCAACCGTTTACTCCAATTTCTTCTAACGAGTTTTAAAAAATTTTTATGAAAAAAGTGTTTTGATAATTGTCATTTTCCCGTGCTTCGCCTTGTTTAAAACATCAACTGAGTACGGGGACAGTATTTAATAATCATGGCTATACTTGCGGTCAATCGTACCTGCATTCCAATAAGCCTTTTAAAAAATTATTATAAACCACGAGTATTTTGATTATTTGTCATTTTCCCGTGCTTCGCCATGTTCAAAACATCAACTGAGTACGGGGACAGTATTTAATAAACGTGTTTATACTTGTCACAACAGCTTCCAGTATTCCATGTCATCTTTTAAAAAGTTATTATAAACCAAAAGTATTTTGATTATTTGTCATTTTCCCGTGCTCCGCCATATTCAAATCATTCATCATCACATCTGGATTGGAACATCACTTAAGGAGTAACGCAGATCTACTTTTCCATTGAATACAATCATCATCTTGATTATAATTGATTGAAACCAACATTTTTATTAAATTTACAGTCTTTTACTGCTCAACCACATAGCATCATTTCATATTCAATGATGCTTCCTCCTCCTTTATTCTTATCCAAAATACCAAAGAATGACGAGATCAAATGTACATATTAAACATAACCCTTGGACATGTCTTGGACAGAAGAAGGAATAAGAAAAGTTTTTTCTAGATATACATTACTGAAATTTCAATGGAATTCAAAACTATTAGGAGTATCTCCATGACCTGAAGGTATCATATCTCATAGCATCTCCTCTTCAACCGCAGGGAGTAACCCTAAGAACTCTCATATTTCCTTTATTTGGCTTTTATGGACGAACAACCTTTTTAATAACCTTCAATTTCTTTAACTTATACTCTTTTCTATGTACGCATTCAACTCACGAAATGGACTTCCGTAAGCATTTTGATTCATTTCATTAACCTATAATCTCCATCTACTCAGATATCCATCGGTTTCTACAGTTGGGCCAGCTCAAAATTTGAGGAATGTGTATAAATGCCGTAGCTATAATCATGGAGCCACAATGCCCATTCATGGTCTTCAGAAAATTCTTACAGTTCGAAACATATTCTACCTTCTCTCATAGCATATTCCAGACTAGGAGTAACAACCGAGTATTGTGGGGTGCCTTGATGATATTGACAATTGGAGCTACTGTATACTTTACTGTCGTTATGGTCAACGAGTATAGCCATTATGAGACAACCACTCACATCAGTGTCTTACAAGTAATTAGTTATACATATCGCTGAGTATCGAAAAACAATTAGAATAATAGTTTGCTGATGCCATCCATTCATATATGTCCCAAGAATCCGGAATACTTTGATTATAAGACTGTGTATCAAGGTATTACTGTTAGTCTGTTGCATATTGACCGTTTTTATTTCCAGATATGAACGATCGAGTAGGAAACTTGACGAAGGAACAGCAAAAGAATTTACTGAAATACTTTGTGGCCGGGTCTGGCCTTCAGAATTCGGGGTTAGAATCCTTATCTAAACAACAAATTCGTGAAGCCGGAGAGCAGTACCTCTTATGGTTAGGAAACAGAACGCTCATAGAGCTGTTCGACTTTGTGTTCAATAAACATGGAGTTAAATGTGAAAACGTTGGTGTTTCTTAATCTTTCATTTTTTTATATTCTGTTGCAGATTCTGAAGAAGTGTATAATGAGTGGAGTGGAGTTCGACTGCTGTAAAGCGTTCAGACCTCACTATGTGATTCTACGAGGCAGGTTTCTTTTCATGCTTGTTATTACGAATACTACGAATAATCATAGATGCATACGGCTTGATCCCATAGAGCAGAAAGGAACTAGTGAATCGGATAAGCTACGCTTAGAGTTCATACAACCTGACAGCAAGCTGATCTCTAGAGAATCGCAAGTAAATAACATTATGAATTCTTCTCACAAATGTTGAATTGTTTTTAAGCGACAATTTGTTTTTTATATGGGTGATATATACCCGGAAATATATTTCATTCCAAGGTTTTATCATAACATCATTGCGTTTGGAGAGTTGGAGATGAGGGCTCGTCTTGTACAGATGCTTCATCGCAATGAAACGTGTATATCATCTTCCATTTCACGAGGTTCATATTGCTTCTTATATGCTCGCACTGTTTCTTATAGGAAGATCGACGTGTTTCCTCAACAACTGGATATTGGAGAACTTGGTTGAACCTCTCAACTGTACGTTACCATACTTAGACACGTTGTATGTTTCAAGAGGCTTGTCTGTGTGCCATCCATCTCAGATCATTGAAATCTATGATAATCTTATGGTAGCTACTAACGTCAGACACAGAGTAAGCAGAACCAATCATTGATGGTTCAGTATAAAAGTTTCAGTGCAATCTGAATTGCGATCGCTGGGATTACATCTATAGATATTCCGAGAAGAATGCCATTCAGAGGGAAGATAACTATGTGATGGATATCTTCTTCACAGATTTAATGGTATAATTAGAATTTCATTAATTGAATAATCTCTTTGTTTCAAGTATGAAGTATACTCAGAGATTAAAATGGTTACGTTTACAGGTTTTGTTTCACAAGTAAAGCTTTGTTATAGTTAAGGAAGGAACTGAATGTAATTCATTTTCAGATAGGCGGGCAAGCTGTGCTGTTCATTGGAACTTCCGTTATTTCACTTATTTTTATTGTTGAGTTCATGCTCAATAGTTTATATAATTATATACGCAAGAAGATGAGGAAGTGAGGAAGTGTTGTTAACATACAACTGCTGGTTCAAGCTTCTTACAAGACGGTTGCAATCCTTGTGAGCATCACTAATTCAAGCATATCATCAATTGTTTTCTGTTTGCATCCTAATTATTGTGTTATTGTATCAATAACCATATTTATATTATTTGAGCTACTGATTCTTTGTTTAGTAGATTATAAGAGCAATGAATGCTATGAGTCAGTCTGATGTGTGTTGTTCAACGTCTCAAAATAATTTCAAAGTCAAACAAGTTCATTGATTATAGAGAATGAAAGTTCATGAAATGATTATTAGAACATGACTATGTGTATCTGATAGTAATAACGATAATAATAATTGAAATAATCAAAATGTGTTGAATAGAAAGTATGAGATCATGCTGTGCATGTAAACAGGAATGATGACCGTATCAATCAAAACGTCAAAAGTATATTCAGAGTATCAAGTGAGCTTTTATATTTTATATACCTATAGTTAACAGTCATAGTAATGATTATGCAGTTACTGTATTTGTAAATCTTTGATATAGTTGAGTAAAATAATCAAAGAAGACCAGACATAGAAATAGAATACACGTTATTCCAGTAAATAAGGTTAACAGTATACGATCCAGTACACTTGCTAAGAATTCCCATTCCATTGAGCATCTGAATGAAAACAAAAAAAAATTTGGAAAAAAAAAATTATTTTCACCTTCGATGCATTTTCTGTCTTTTCACATTTCGAGCCTGCGAAGAATTGCTCAAGTGAAGTGAACGGTTCTCTTTGTCTTTATTCCGTACCTTAAGTGAAACAAATAACCAGCTATACGAAGGAATACAAAATGAAAGTTGGAACAACCGCACAATGCGTTCAAACAAATAAAAAATGAACTCAGTGATTGGTATGCTAATTAGATGAATCAATCAATATTTCTTACCTGTGTAGTGTACTGCTTGGTAATGTTAGCTAATCGAACCGTGTAATCGAAAGAGTTAGTATCACTTGATTCCGAACAAAATGATCCGAAGAATGCACGAGGCCTAGGGGGTAATTGCTAAAACGAAAAGGAGGTTCACGGGAGGTGTTTCTGAATAAAACTTACAGAAACTGGATCAAGACTCTCTAACAAGAATGGATCCATCATAGAGGTACGTTGTCCCGTTTCGATTCCAAACTCTTCCCATAATTCTAGTAGAGCTGATGGAACATCAAGTATGATAGCTGTAAATGCTTATGAAGTCAAAGAAAGTGGATTTCACAACAACATACAGTTGACATATCGGTTATGGATGAGTCGTCGAACCCAAGTTGGTATAGGCTTATTGACATGCTTCTGATTATGAATAGCTGAAATAAGAAATAAATGAATTGAAGAGGTGGAGAGAGATGGAGAATGACAAAACCTAAAACGATGGTTGCCATTAAAGTTCCAACGACAATTACCAGAATGACACCAATATAATACCAACCTAAAATAATATAAAAATCATCATAAAGAGAATTCGTTTTACTCATTAATGGCACATACGTGCTTGTGGATGGCATTTGATTACAAACCATTAACATCATAATGGACATGGTTAGAAGTGTGTTTATACCCAGATATCTGAATGTTTAATATTTATATTTTTTTATTGGCTCAGATAAAAAAGAGAAATAAAATAAAGTAATGAAACGAACAGCTTTTCATCGCGTTCACTCGACGATGACGTTGGTGTGAAAAATCCTGTGACAGCTACAATTGTTATAATAGAAGTTGGAATAACCTAGAAGACACAAAAAAGCATAGTTAGCCCCATCATTCAAAGATTCTTTTTTTTTACCAAATTAATGATATAGTATAATGGTTTACGTCGGATGACCATATGTGCATACAACATCACCCAAGGATCTTTGCAACACTTGTAATTTTGCTGAAAACACGAATATCTTTAGCTATATGGAAATACGATAGGATATTACTTCGATTCGATGGAAATCAAAGCTCACTACTTCCCATTCATCGTTTCTAGCCATATTCTGTAGGTTGACTCCTGGCCGCATTGGCCAATAATCAATTGTGGCTTTATCCCTTGTCCAGCTAGAGATGATGAAGCTGCAGTTCTGAGAATCGTATGGGAACCATTGCACCTTCAATTGTCTATTATTTTGCCATTCACAATAATATCAGTACATTCATATGACAGGACAGTTTGTAAATTGCTGGGAACATTAGTTGAACTCGTGCTCCGGAGGAGTCATTGGCCCAATATCCTGTCTCCACAATGGCATTCATGATTGATTCAGTTTGTTTTTGTTCCAAAGTTTCACTGGAAATTTCTTCTCTTCCACCATCACGACCAGAAGTAGTGAGCTAACCTGTTGTAGAGATAAGTATCTGGTATCCATAATTGGTCATGAGGAACGATTGTCTTGTTTATTAAACCATAATCATGAGGATCCCAATCCAAGAACTCATCAAACCAATTCTATGATGAGATGAGTTGAGAGAATGGAACGATGCGGAAGTTTGTTTTTGAAAGAAATCGATAGTTCAAAAGGCAATTATGGAAAATTTGCTATTCGAGAATAAAAAAGGTTTTAGAAGTTGAAGAGAGAAATATGTTTTCAAAGTACAAGTTACCTGAACCATCCACACATTCACAACAATACTTTGCTTATGCTCGTCCTCAAAAGCCATATATTTTTATAAAAAACTATTCTGTTATACACTTACGATATCGAGAATTTGATATAAGCTCATACTGACGTTAATACGTGTTGGAAGCAGATGATTTCTCTGTATTGAAGATGATTATGATGAGTCATATTGTGCTCGTACCTTGGGGTGAACAGTTTTCTCATAGAATTCAGGATCTAATAGATCTTCGACAAGACGTCTTTGATCGTTGAAGAATAAGCCGGAATTAAGTTTCTCTAAATATTCCTCTCTTTCCTTCACCAGATGGTCATAGAATGAAGCGTTAAAAAAAATTCCATCACGCTCATCTGTAAGGCAAAAATACAATTCATCACAAGAAATTCTAATGAGGTAAAGAGAACCTAAACTTCGTCTAAGCTGATTGCGATAAACATCTTCAGCAGCCGGTATATGCTCAGAACTATGTCTTTTATTCCATTGTAACCAGTCATCATACGTACCCGTAGTTTCTGATAAGCTATACAAGTACAGATGTGTATTAATCCGCAGATAGATTTTAACACTAACCTAACCCGTTTGCCCATTTTCTCTTGGCAAGTCGTTGTAATCCATACCGACGTTATTATAAATAGAAACATTTTAATCTAAAAAATCAAGGACCTCATAACAGATAAAGATGGCTTAAGATTTAATGTCAGGTGAGAGACACGTATATAAGTTGAGTGTTGGAACAATCATTTTATGAGAGCTGCAAATGAGGACAGTTTGCTTCATAGTTCAAGAAGTGTTATTCGACTTTGTAATTGGTATTATGATATAGTCTCAAAAAAGAAGGCCTCAATAAACCCATGAAGACGGCATTAGATTGAATGTGAGGTGAGAAACACGTATACGAGTTGAGTGTTAGAAGAATCATTTCAAGTGAGCTGCAAACGAGGAAAGTTTGCTTCTTAGTTCAAGAAGTGTTATTCGACTTTGTAATTGGTCTTATGATATAGTCTCAAAAAGGGATGGACCCAGAAAACCAAGGGGTATGGCGTAAGATTTAATGTCAGGTGAGAAACACGTATACGAGTTGAGTGTTGGAAGAATCGTTTTATGAGAGCTGCAAATGAGGACAGTTTGCTTCATAGTTCAAGAAGTGTTATTCGACTTTGTAATTGGTATTATGATATAGTCTTAAAAAAAAGGCCTCAGAAACCAATCAAGATGGCATAAGATTGAATGTGAGGTGAGAAACACGTATACGAGTTGAGTGTTGGAAGAATCTTTTAAAGTGAGCTGCAAACGAGGAAAGTTTGCTTCATAGTTCAAGAAGTGTTATTCGACTTTGTAATTGGTATTATGATATGGTCTATGAACCTTCTAGTTCTGAAGTGAATGAATAGAATGAGCAGCTGTAATAGATAATCAATTTGAAAAACAATTGAAATGCAACCGGTTTACACATGCGCTTTGTTAAAATGGAACAAGCTGTGCTTGCACACTGATAGTTCGCGTGAAGCCGTAATATTCTAATTAGATTGATCACTGGAGGTAATCTTAGTACAGATGAGTGAAATGAGTTGAGAAGGATGGCTGGAAAGCCTAACTTCTCTCTTCGAAAAGAAAGCCATGGAACACAAACAACCGCGTTTAGCATCTTCATCGCTTTTTGAAATATTGATATGTGGTAAAATAGCATAAGCTCATAGGTGACTAAAAAGGAATAAAAGTTCAAAGAGAGAAAAAATAGAGAAGAGAAGAATTATAGAAGAGAACAAGCACAATGGATGAGAGAGTGTAAGCGACAAAAAGAAGGGGAATACCGACTAGTGGGCGCTAAAAGTTCATGACTGGCCGGCGAAGGGTTAAGCATAGACAGTTGGATGGATGCGTTAAGTATTGTTGAGAATAGAAAGAGTGAGACCGATTGGGAAGGAAAGGGAAAAGCTTGAAATATTGTGAGCTTAATCGTCCAAGCATAACATATGAAAAAGGTAAAGCAATTTCGTAAATTGATATATAGTTTGCATAGACGCATAATAAATTAGAAGACGCATAAGAGGAGCAAAGAGGAAATCCCAAAAAATTTATAGAAACTTTAACAAAAAAATAGAATGAAGAGAGCGAGGGAGGGAGAGGTGGAGAGTAAGAGGGAGTCAGAGTAAGGTAGAATCGCAAGGAAGGACAGAAATAGAGCAAAAGACCGATAGATGGGCAGAGAGTGGAGAGACAAGAGAGTGATGCACATTATGGAGAGCAATCGAGAACAAGAGCATGAGATGAACCATATACGCGTTTGAGAAACTGAAATCATTTTTAGAAAGTGATTTAGATACTTTTGTTACTACAGTCTCGCAAAAAGAAAATATTCAAGACAAGAAACAAAAATCGATTTGGTTCCCAAATATGGTTGTTTACTAGCTGTTTGTATAATTCGGAAGTCGAATCTACTAGTCGTCATTTCGCTGCCCTCCCAGGGATTTCGAATCTAGAAGAGCGAGAGAACGAAAAGCACCAAATGAAATTTGTGAATGACGAAGATATCAGACAAGCACAATACACGATCTTCAAATGAATTGTCATGAATATCTCAAATGAGAAGACTGAACAACAATAGTTATTTTCATTTAATTTCATTTATGGAAATCACGAAAAACGTAAAATGAAGTGAAGTGGTGATCTGACTAAGATGGAAGAACGGCTTCTTCCGCTTTCTTCTCTTCATCTACTGGGCAATTTCTTAAAAAAAACAACAAAAAGATGAACAATGTGCAATGAGGCATTTTTGAAGAGTTTCCTTGAATTCATTAAGATCGTTGTTGGTGCTTTTGATTGTCCTATGCGATAAACAGAAATTGTATCGAAGGTGAAAGAGTTGTCTCTGTATTGCCATTCTATACATATGCATTCTTCTCCCTCTCTCTCTCTCTCTCTCTCTCTCTTTCTCTTTCTATGAACTCTCTTACACCTCTTCTCATACATACCTCTCTCTATATATACACATTCCCTTCTTTTTTTATGACAATTTAAAGCTCAGCAGAATAACATTTGAATAGTTTCCGTCAATCTTTAGAGTATGAAAGATGGATCGTTAGCTTCACGCTTTCCTCGTTCAAACGTTTCTCTCATTTTTTTCTCCAATAAAACAAGAGATCATTGAACTTTCTAAGATGCATAAATGAAAGGAAAAAAAAAGTTTCAAAATTAGCCTCGCGAAAAGGAAATTAAGTGAGAGAAGATGGCTTTGGAAAATGAGTTCTCATACGGAAGAGTGAATGTGTCAGTAAACCAAGTGAACGGGACACAATAAACCATAAACAACAACGAATTTATTTGAAAAAAAAAGTGATTGAATGATTCGACTGGAACACAAATAAGGAGAAAACAGAGAGTCATTGAGATCACACATCTGACGTTACAAGCTTATGATGAAAGGAAAGTTTTCATTTCATTTCTTCTCTCTCCTAGGTCTACTACAGCTTTGCGTTAGTAAGTCCTCCCTCTTTCTTTCTCATTCTCCACCTCTCTCTCTCTCTCTCTCTCTCTCTGTAGACTTTCTCTCTCTATCTCACTCTTTCTTCCCTCTACTTCACTTCTTATAGGTAACTATCCGAAAAAAACTTGTATCAATGGCTAAACTTCTGCAGGATTTTGCTTGAAAACAAACTATCGACAGAGAGAGAATGTCGGAAGGTTTTCGGACAACGTCTTAAAAAGTGAGAATTGACACAATAAAAGGAAGTAAATAATTCTCTCCAGCTATTTAGTTCTTTTTTTTTTCGCTTCAAAAAGGTTAGACAGACCTTCGTCCCTCCCTCCCTTCGTTCATTCATTCTTCTCAACGATAGAAGAGCTCTTCACTGCTTATTTTTTCTCCCTTTCCCTCTCCCCCTCCGACTTCTTCACATCTACTTTGGACACCTTGCCGTCGTACAGCTTTTACATTGTTATGAGCTTGGTGACATAAGTTTTGTAGCACAAACCTCACTTATTCAACAGCTTTTTTTTGTGAGTACAACACACACACACACACACATACATACACACATACACACATACACACACAAGCTGGCCCCCGAATAGAGTGAGGGAGGGAGTTCTAAAGAATTCAACCGAATGGTCCAATGATGAAGTATTCGCATTTCGACCGAATCATGCATTTACGTGTTCAAACTAATAATTTCATTGAACATTCACTAAAAAATAAATTATTTTCTCTTTTTTTCGTCATAAATGGTAACAAATGAAACAAATAATCCTGAAATCGTAAATATGGCTTAGATATGATCCTAGTTAAGGTAGTAGGTAACATTCAATATTATAATTTGAATCCTCGAAACATATTGATGAGCGATCTTCTTCTCTCATTATCACAGTCTTCAGCATCCATGAATAGCAATGCTGATCTGAACATTGAATGTTGAACTGTATACTGTATTCAACTGGCTTGCGTACCTTTTTATTATTTCACGTACTTCTCGTGCTTTCTCTTCTCGATCTAGTCTACGAACCATAAGCACATGCCCCAAGTATGTATACAGAATGAAACCGATTACTGATCCCAATATCATGAAAGACATCATTCGAGATGATCGAGTCAACCTTTATGGGAAACGTCATTCTATTTCTCTATTCAGCACCTCCATACCTCTCAGAATCCGTATTGCCACGCGCAAAGTTTTTGCCAAATTCAGGATGCCATCTGGACTCGAGCGACCAAATAATCATCCGCTCATTATGAGCATCACGCCAATCATTCTCTTTCAGTCGAATAAACCTGGAGGGATCTATATGGTTCTGAAAAATTATTTCTTTTTTACATTTCAAATTTCTTTTTGGCTTTTCCCATTTCAAAAAAACAACGTAAGATATTGATTCTTCAAAAAATGGAGAGAATGAGGGAGAGAGAGAATGAATGAGTGGAAAGGTTATAAGAGATCGTGGAGGGGGAGGGTGGTGTTTCTGCATTTTTGAACAAAGTCAAAGAAATTCTCACCTCACTGCTCAATTTCTTTTGTGTATGTTCCATTAAACTATCTGTTGTGATGTTTACAACATCAAATGAAAGTTGAGTTCGATTGCCAATGACCAAAACAGGAAAAGTGGATATTGTGCTAAACTGTACCAGAAGCCACAGTATCATACATGTAAACCCTGAAGAGAAGCAGTGTTGCGAGAGTAGAAAGCATGACGTATAATAATAGAATAAATGATTTTCAAACAAAATATATTCTGATCGACCATATGTGAGGCTCATCTCTGTTTGAGCTTTTGCTCGTTCTTTGTTGAATAAAATGATTTTTGAATGTGAAAACCAAGTAGCGGGTGGAATGAGGGAGGGGGAGAGAGGCACCTACCAACATCATGTAAAATGGTTTTTTTGTGGTCCGTAAGCCAATTGACTCACATGGAAACTTCGAACAACCCGTCGCCTTTGAAGGATGAGAAAAAAAAGACCAAAAGAGACAGCTTCATGGGTAAGATGTTTATAATTTCATTTTCGTTATTCGCGTCTCGTTGTCCAAGAACATCGCTAGGTTTAGAAGGTCGGAGGGAGCATAGACAGATGGGCGATGAAAAGAAAAAAAAAGTTCTTTTTTCTTCATAATTCATATGAGCTGAAAGTCAACAAAAAACTTTAGAAAGGCCATTATTGTGAAGCCGAAAGGTAGTAAAGGTCTTCATTGTTGTTCAGTTAAGGAGAATATGAAGAGAGAGAGGAATGGGTGCATGCTTGCTACACCCTTTAATTCTCATTTAAGATTCTTCCGAAGACAGGGCACATTCTATGAAAAGGGCAGATGAGATGAAGTCAAAAAGAAATATTTAGTACAAGAAGGTGGTGTCTTAGCAAATCCCCCCACCAAAAGGAAATTGTAGAACTTTTAAAAAGTTCAAAAGTTATTATTTCAGAAGAGAAATTGAGAAAAATGAAAGAGCGACGACAGAGAGACGAAGGTTTTGACAAAAAAATTGTTTTTTTTTCTCTAACGATAGAGCACCTTTTTCATTTTTTTTTTTTTAATAAACAAGAGTTGAATTGGAAGAGAAATGTATTTTATGCACGAGCTGAAGCCTTCAAAAGAGATATTAAGAATATGGAGAGAGGGAGAGATAGAGAGACGACCTCAGAAGCATCAACAGCAAAAGACAAAAAGATGGAGAGAGCGAGTTGGAGATGGAATATGAGGGTCAAAACTGGTTGAATAAGAAATAATATTAATTACTCATTTCGTAGTTTTATCTCTTTTTTTATATTTTTCTTTACTCCTCTTCGTGCTTTATCGGCTTTCGTTTTGTTTCGGACCTCTTGAAGAGTAGAGAGAGCAATAGAGAGAGAGACTAGATGGCTGAGATGAAGTAAGAGAGAGAAACTGTGTTAAAAGAAATATAATCTGTTGATGTTGTTCATTACATTTATCTCTCTAATCAAATATTATCAAATATATATTTTAATTTAAAATTCCATGCTTATACATCAGATGCTGCTTCGTTTGATGAATCGTCGGTGAGCATGGGAAGAAAACGACGTTCAGCTGCTGTGCGAACGTCCTCATAGAAGCAACGTTTCATGTTTTCAAATCTATATGAGTTTTGAAAAATGAAAAACATAAAAGAAGATTTAGCTAACCTTTCAAAACATGGAGCATAGCTGTAGTCAACTGGAGTATAAAGATCCGGACGTTGATCGCAGAAAGTCAAGCACTTCGTTCCAGCTGTTGTCCCACCAACACCTCGTGCAGAGCAGCACTGAACATTTTTGGTTTCACTGTTTTAATGTTGTAGTTCATGTATATGCGGATTTGAGTGATTAAAATAATCTTGGCCTATTCATATATGTCGTGAGTGAAACTTACACGACGGTGATCCATTCCCTGAGCTGCGCAGAACTGCATTTCAGCCAAAAATTCCATTGGACACTGATGAGTTCCAAGGAAAATGCTGTGTAGCTGAAGTGTAATAGAAATGCATAGATCGAACGGCATCAAGCCCGAACCACATCACGAGTAAAAGCATTGAAATGACATTGTTGAATACATGATGGAGGTAGACGACGTTCTTCACAGCAGCGATGAAACAGGAAATTAGGATTCTGTAAACGATCTTGTTGTTTGTTTGGTTCTCGGGATTGAGAAATAGAACATACCGTTACACGTTCTTTATTCTGAACTTCATTCTGAATGTTTGTATTGTTCCATATGGACAGACCGAATATGTTACCATCGTCACGTTCATCGAAGTCTTCCATATCCTGAAATGTCTCAGATCACACACACTGTGATTCATTCTTATAAAGTTTGATTATTTGTCATAATTTAGCTCTCAGTATGATATTTTTCAATCTTACCACAGAATTCGTCTTGGCAGCTCTGGCCTTGGCTTTCGCACGGCAACCACAACAGCCGCATGATCCACTTGATCCACACTAAAGAAGGTGAAGGACTAGTAGTACAATGAATGGAATAACTTACAGCATAGACAGAGCAGAATAAGACGAAAATTAGAAAAAACTTGAGAATATCATTCATGTTCTCAGGCTTGGATGAAAAAATTTTTTTTCAAACAGTTTATTTTTGAAAAAATAACAAAACAAAATGTAAGCTCGAAGTATCTTTTTTGGTTTTTATAGACAGTTTAAGTGGTTTTCGAAAATCCACTTAAGTTATAGCTGGATCAAGTTTGAAGTGTTTGAAAGATAATTAGGCTGGTTACTAGTTGTTAGTTTAATAGTACGGTAATTCATCTGGAATGAACCTAGAGGAGTTTCGTCAAGTGTTTTCATATTTACTCATCACAGGTGACAGATCCGTATTGCCTTAAATTCTATATAAAGGCTTTCGAAAGCTCTCTTTGGTTTACTTTCGAGAAAGCTTCTTCTACGCTTTCACTTCTATTCACTTGAGACAATATCATACAAGTGTTCCAATGTTGCTCATACTGTCATTCCTTGCATTCTTACCGACGATGGTCATTACTGTATGTTTCAAATTATTTTACATTTTACTCTCTATCTTGTTCAAGTGTAAAGGATCATCTGGATGTTGTCAATCATCCTCTCATCGTCCCCCACCACCTGTAGGTGGTGTTTGCATGCCAAGCGGTATGTCATCATCTTCTGGTGGATATGGTGGAACTCCAGCTTCAGCTTGTCAGCCAGGCTACCAATGCGGACAATATGGATGCGCTAGAAGGCGCATTTTGGCAGGTTTAACCAAACGAATTGTACAGATGATTGTTGATAGAGAACATCCATAACACCTTTTTTATTTTACCAGGATGGTGTCATTGTCAATGATGATGATGAACAGGCCAATACTCCTGATATGGTAGACTCAGAACTGATCACCGATGTGTCACGTTTGAATTTGAACCCTGCTCGGCTTACAGTACACACAACCAGCTTTATCATTCAATACTCTGAAGCATATTGTAGAATCCCAACTTCATCTTCAGAACATGTTGTGAATCTCGTGGACTACCGGATTCATGCCTCAAGCATTGTCATTTCAATACATATAATTCTCAAACTGTATCATTCAATTGGATTTAGAGTAGAAGAGATGAACCATCTCTATCTTTCAGCTCGAATCTATGTTCCGAAATCAGGATTCCTGTCCCGTTGATGCTGTCAATGAAATTCACTACTGTGCAGCTCAAGGAATAGATCATCGCGAGGTGAGAGCAATTCGTTTTGTCTCAATCATTTATCATTATTTTCTTTTTTTTCTCCCGCTTTCTCTCTTTCACTCGCTGCCGTCCCTCTCTCTCAGAAATTGTACTGCTAGGGGTTGATCTATCTTTCAATTTCATCCCTGAACATCAAAAAACATTTTTCATCTTTAAAATTTCTATCAAACTAGAAATACATTGATTGGTATTTCAAAGAACATTTGCAACCATAATCGTTCCCAACGTGCATGTTGTACGGATCAAGCAGTGATGGTAGAACAGAACAAAGCTTTTGCTTGTTAATTTCTGTCATGTGTGCTGTGTTGAAGTAAAATATTTTAATCGAAAAGAAATATATCAAAATGTTAAAGTTCATTTATAGTGTTGTTCCATAAGAGGTGTGGGAGCAACGATTGCTGGTCAAAAGTGTCTGACATTCTGTGATCAACGTCCAAATAGGTAATCAAAAATACTTTTTTTCAATGTTTTCATCACATCATTTTAAAGATTTACACCCATTGATGCTAGCTATTTGCCATGTTTTGATGTTTTTGAGCAAATGAAACGATGTTTCTACGATGAGATCAAGTAAGGAGCTGATGTGTTCATATTCGTATCAATATGAGTATCATGTTGCAGACATCGAGCAGAAGCAAAGTTCGGACGCAATACATCGTCTGCTAAAGATGGAGATTTTTGATTTGTGTGTTGCTGCTATCTGCTACTGTGTGTGTGTGTGTGTGTGTGGGGAGTGGCGCATACATCCAAAACATACAATTTTAATTTTTAAAAATTTTTTTATTTTTCTCAGTCAAATATAACTTTGTGTCAAAGAGATTTGATAGATAAATGATGTGTATGTACAATAACGAAATCACAAATATCAATGATAACGACGATATTGTGTCGGAATAAAGCAAAAACATGAAATGAGGAAGATGAAGATGAAACAAGAAAAGGTTTCTCAACTCAACATCACTGAGAGCTGAAAGAAAAAAAACATTTTATGAGAGAGAGAGAGAATTCAAAATGTATAAAAGAAGATTGCTCTTCTTGCAGATTGAGTGAAATAAATACACGTGGATGGATGACAATAGGAGTTTTCGTAATGGATCAAACCATACAAGTAATTCCTGAATGTTGAAAGAAAAGATGAAGCACACATTTGATTTGTTTGATATTAAGTTTCTATCTATACAGAAATATGTCTTTTAAGCCAACATGGCTCTCTTTGTTTCTCACTGTTAATGGAGAGGATAAAAAAAAGAATTTTGTTTTAGAGATTTCTAGCGTTTTTTCAGGTTGGAAGCCTTATAGAGAAGGCTCAACGCACGTCAACTACACGTTTTCATATAAGGAAAGAAGAATGAGCACAAAGAAAGCGGTAAATTAAGAGGTTTCATCCTTTTTCTTGAAGCTTCTTTTGGAAATAAATTGAAAGTGAAGAGGGAATAGCTCATATGTGAAAGAAAGAACTGAGCGGGTAGAAGTGGAAAGCTGATATGCATGGTGTGGAACGTTCATCCTCCCTGTTGAAGTGAAGTAACAGAGGATACTCGTAGCTGGAGCTTTGAAATGTTTAAGCTCGTGGAATCATTTCCACTCGACGCATTCGTTCACGACTCATCGCCCGACGAAGAGCAGTTAAGACTGCTGAGTTCTGATGGGGTTGTCGTTGAGTTCCTTGTCTACTTGGCTTCAGCTTGTGCCCTGCTCTCTCTTGAGTGACTGATTTAGTCTTCACAGGCTGAACTACAGCCTTCAGCTCGATCGAAGATGGTGGTACCAACAATGAGGTTTTTGAGAAACGTCCATTGCCAGCTTCTGGCAAAGCATTCTGAAGATGATGATATAATGAATTGTTTCTGATTTTGATAGACATACAGCTTTAGTTGCAATGCTACTTGCTGACGATCCAACACCGGATTCATCTTCACTCGATGGTAAACTGTCTGATTGGTGATTCTCCTTCTCAGTTTCTTCCGCTATTTCTTCAAGTTCTTCACTGTGCTCTATAAAAAGCAGTTTTTAGAAAAATAAATGGACTTGGTGAAAATGAATTAAGTCATTACAGTTCGCACTTTTTTTACAACTTTCATTTTAACTATCAAAAGATTTTAAAAAGAAAGTACGAATAATAGGAGAGATGTACTTGTCAATTGATCATAAACGAACGAACCATCTTTGTCTTTGTCAGCTTGCTCGTCATCCGAAGACTGGGTGGCATTATTGGTGTTTGTGGTAGCACTTAAAGTAACCCAGTTGCACGTTTGCTTCTTGCACCATGGATGATTCAAAATATCTTCCAGTGTACAACGAGTGAATGGATCGAACGCTAAACAGCGTGAAACCAAATCACGTGCATCTATAGAACATTATATATATAAGAGTTATGAAAAGATGTTAAATATTACCTGCAGATACGGGCACGTAGAATGGAAGGGGACCTAACAAGTGCGCCGTACATATATCTTTTTCATTTCGGAACGGTAGTCGGCCGTTCAAGGCATTATACAGTAGGACACCCAATGACCATACAGCAGCTTCTTTTCCCAAATACAATGAATGTAAGAACCATTCAGGTGGACAGTATAAGCGAGTGCCTGAAAATGAGAATACGTGATTGAATACATTTCGTTCAGATTTTTTTTCTTTCTTTTTTTTGTTAATTAGCAAAATTACAAATTATTTAATTGAAATTTGATATTTTTTCATTTTTGCACTTCACATCGTGTTTTCTGATTTTATCAAAAATCGAATTCTTATTTGTCGCCTTTCGTTCTTCTCCCCTCTCTTCATCCCCTCTATTTCCCTTAGATGGCGTTGAATACGATGAATTCATATTCGACATAGATCTATAACTTATGTTTTGATTAATATTCCTTTATATGAAACAAGTTAAATATGCTACTAACTATAAGTTAAAGATAGACATAGAAGACTAGTTGAAACATATCTGAAAAGGTCATTTACTCACGTATCTCAAATGATTTTATAAAAATTCCTTCTTCTCTCTCTCTCTCTCTCTTCTTTTTTTATTATTTTAAAATATTTACTTTGAAAGTCGTTAAGTCCATTATGTTATTGAGTTGTTGGACTTGTTCTCTGTTTATACTTCCATATATGAATGGCATTCATTTGGAATTATGCAAATTCCATTTGATATGTTTGTATTCAAATTTTTTTTGTTTCATTCATTTTTCAACACTCATGATTACTTGAAGTTGTGATTGAACACTTAATCATATTATTCCATTTGCAATCAAACCAGTCTGTTTTATGTGTTTTGTCATCTGATTAGCATATGTGAATTGCTCACGCGACTTTCACGTGAATTACGGTTCACTGATGATCACATAAATTAGTGCGTACCCACAGTTAACGGTTGCTTCTCTTCTATCATCTCTCTCTCTCTCTCTCTTTCCCTCTACTCTCTTACAGTCTCTCTATTTCTCATATTCCTTTTTCGTTTTCAGCTTCGCGAAGGTGTCAACACGTTCTCTAAAAATCGTAATGATCGAAAAGTTAATTTGCAAAAAATGAATGATAAATTGATATGACAAAGAAGTAGCAATTAGTCAACTGTGTGATTGTTTCGCAAAAAAACAAAAAAAAATATAAAAAAATGAAAAAAAATCAAGAAACAAAATTTTTGTGTTTCAGTTAGTCATTGATGAAAGAAAGCGAAAATGAAAGATCATCAGAATCGTTCGTGGGTAGAGAAGAAGAAAACATAAAAAAATAAATTTCAAATATGTTGGCGCAGCATGTGGTCGATTGACCACGTGCTTGCTCGTTGTTGCCTAATCAGTATTTTATATGAAAAATAAGAAAAATATCTATATGATATAAGAGAAGTGTTGACAACAAGGTGAGAGAGAGAGAGAGACGAAGGGGTGTGGGGAGAAGATGAAAGAATCTCTTCGGGGTGGTCAATTAGACTGTATGATAAGCCTTAATCTTTGCATAAAACATACTTTTAATGATTATGTGATTGGATGAGAAGTAAGAGATGATGATTGAGATAGTATGCTTGTATGATAGAATTTGATGTTGTAAGGCATTTTCAAGATCACACAAAAAAACATTCCAAAACGGAGAATTTGTCAAATATGAGAAGATAGGAAGAATGTGTGTTGATGATAGGAGAGACTGATAGAGAATCAGATACACACACACATACACATTCACACACATACACATACACATACATACACACATTATGACCGATAAAAAGAAAACTTTCTAGAAACGACGTAGATGGAAGTTTGATGAGAGATCTGCTCTCATTCATTCAGCTAATCATTTCAATGCTGACACATTGACTGACTTCATCATTCAGATGAGAAAAATACGATGAAAAGAAAAAAAATGAAGAGAGCTATCAAAAATGCGATGAACTTTCATTGTTGAAAGCAAGATTTTCTAGCAAAAATCACAAGAAAATACCTTTTTCAAGGACGATTTTTGGAAGTTTTTTTGATTCATAGATCACGGAACAAAAATGAGAAACAAGGAATCATGAGTTGTGTCCGGCTTGACACAATTCTTCATTGAAATTAATGATTTTTAAAAATTTTTATCTCATACCAGCTCTCTCTCTCTCTCTCTATCTTTCTCTCTATCTTTATCTCTCTCTCTCTCTCTTTGTGTTTTTTTTGTCATTTTCTCAATTACATTCTATTCCTTTACATCTCTTTATCTCTCTCTACTTCCTCTTACTCTCTGTTTCTCTGATTAGCTTTCGGCATTTCTTACCTTGAAAATCTGTGTAATGTGATTTCTTGAGAATTGTTGAAGCGCCGAAATCAATTAGCTTTGTTTCTCCACTGACTAGATCGATGACAATGTTTTCATCCTGAACAACAAGATTGTATACAGTTATATCAAATGGATATTAGTCTGAAGCAGATGAAATACTCTCTAACACAAACCTTCAAATCTCTGTGTAATACTTTCTTTTGTGAACATTCAAGTATGGTTTGTACAATTTGGCGGAATAAGAATCGTGCCATCTGCAATTATGTAAATGAGGAAATGTATTATGAGGATTAGATGTTATACTTCTTCATCAAGTCTTTGTTGTCCTTTTATAAAATCAAACATATCAACACAAGGGTATGGTCTCTCCATGACAATCAGGTATCCTTCTGGGATACTGTACCAATCCAGGAGACGTATAACCCCTTGAAAAGATATATATTTACTAACTATATGTTATTATATTTTACTATACCTCTGATTTTTGAGCATTTTGCTAGCATACAAATCTCCATAGGCACTTGCTCATCGTTAATCTTCAAATAGAACAAGTTAATTGAGAAAGAGATATCTGTAAGTATACTTTGCCCCATTCGCGGACTGATCGTCTATCAATGAATTTCACAGCAACTGGTGTTTCATCAGAGATTCTGATAGCTCTGTAGACGATTCCAAATCCTCCGCGTCCGAGCTCTCCTTTGAGCTTATAATTCTTTTTGAACTTAGAAAAGCCGCGACCTGAAGGAAGAAGGGAAATTGAAGGTGAAAATTTCCAGAAAAGCAATCGATTATCTTTAAAAACTGATTGTAAAATTTTCTGTCAACGTTCTGATTGTCAGTTACGGAAAAAGCTTAAGTCAGCTTACATGATGGTGATGTTGGGTGTGGAAGCATTTGTGTATTTGGGATAGATGTTGTGACTGGCAAACAAGCAAAAGGAAAGAGGGGGAGATGAAAAAGAAATTTTCAAAGGGAAATAGTTTCTTTAATCTTCCTGATGATGTCGTCATGATTTCACTTCACGTCGTTGTGAACAACGACATGCAGATGATGCTGTCGTCTTTGACAATCATGAAGACATCAGGTTTCAGCACTTGTAGCTGTTGGATGAAAGATATGATCCAGTTTCTCTTATTTTTTCCAAATAAAATATCTTGAACTTCAACAAAATTTAACTCAAAGTTAACTCGAAACTCTCCGATGCTTTGTTCCAGCGCTCTGCCTCGTTCTCCTTTCTCTCTCTCTCTCTTGCTGACAAACTCGAAACATACAATCAGGTGAATACAGAGATAAAGATAATCAAAATATAAATATAGAAGAAGCAAACTTACTAGATTCGCCATTCAGTAGCAACTTGAGGTTGAATAACTGGAACGATGCCAACTTTTTAACTTTCTTCGCTAATATCGGTAGCGTCATTGCCTTTAGATACAGGCTCGTCTATCTGCAAAAGCGCAAATGAATAGGCGGAGTTACAACGGGACACGCCCACAATCTCGTGCGCAAGAGAAACACACGCGTTTGTGCCTTGTGGCAATAAAAGGAAAGAAAATATGTTGAAAAGTAGAAATTCCGAATTTCTCGGAGAATTTCGAAAAGAATGCGAAAAGAAGAATAAAAAATGAAAAGGGAACGCAAGACCGAGAGAGAGATATATGAAGAGAGAGAGAGAGAGGAAGATATAGAGAGAGAGGGGGATGTAGCTGTGGGGGAAGACGGATATAGGGGATATATGGGATTTCGCAGCTTAAGAAGCTTAAGAGAGACAAAAAAATGAAATCATCTGTTTAGGTTTCAATGGCTGAAACAAGCATTGAAATTGAAAATATTTGAGAAAAACGATATTAAGCATAAACTGAAGATGTTCGATTCGGCAAAAATGTTATTTGAGACAAAAAAACAGAAATTGATAAGTGTCTACGAGAGTAAATTAAGCGAAGACAAGAACGGAACTTGACTAGAAGAGAGGAGAAGGCAAGAAGTAGGACAAGAGGAGAATGAACGAAGTAGAATAAGAAGAACGAGGAGGAGGAGGAGGAACTATGGGTAAAGTTGATGACATTAGCTGAAGGTTAAAAGCAACAAGCACCACGAGCTCATGTTCTTCATGATTCTCTTATAACTTCTAATGTTGATGTGGTTCATGATCGTTAAGTGAAAAAATAGAAAATTGAAGAAGAAGAATGAAAAAGATAAAAAACATGGAAAAAAACATTTCCCCCTCCTTTTCCACCTCTCTATATTTCCCTCTATCTCATTTATTTTTTTATATTTTATTTTAAAATAACGAGAGAAGGAACTAAAAAGAAACAGAGACAGATGAGTATATGACTGCTGACAGTCTTTATATACGTGATGATGATGATAATAGCTAAGGTTAAAACCCTCATACATGACATACAAGAGCATACATTACATATCAAATAAATTTGTTCGCAATATTGCACCGTTAGCTGGCATATTGCCTAATCAGGCAGTTCTCTGATATTTGAAATTTGAATATTGATTGTATACATGAACATATCTGGTTTTGTAGAAACCAAACGATGTGACGAGATGAACGGCGAACTATGAGGTGGGGAAACGATCAAAAAATACAAGTGACGAGTATGGAACTGTACCGAAACTGCAGCAAATGCAAAAAATGGGGGTGGAAAGAGAAATGAGGAGTAGATGGAGGTAAAAAGAGAATGGAATGGAGGAGGTGGATAGACATATAAGCTTTGACTCTTGAGTAAGACTGAGGTGAAGTTCATGTGATAAACAAAACAAGTGCAAACGGCCTGTGTGTGTACTGAAGAGAATCATTTGTAATTGGAGAATGATGCCTTATGTTGACGAGTAATGATCAAAGAAATGTTTTGTTTGGAATGAAGCGTAAATGATAAGTTGGTTTTGAGACAACTGACAAATAGTTAAGTTGAAGATAGGAAGAGAGCTTGCAGCATACATCGGGTCTATTTCATCTTTGACATATAAGACGTGCTTTTTGATTCGAAGTTGCAGATCAGTCGAACTCTCAAAGAATTTCTTACGAAATCATTGATAAAAGAGAAGTTTATGAAGAAAATTAAATAAATATCTAAATAGAGTATCGGAAGGGTGGAGTTCGAAATGAAGAGAGACAAGGAGATTGTTGGAGATGGGAATGGATGACAATTTGACCGGAAAAAAGAATCGCGCGCACGCACAGAAGCTGTTAGCTGATAATATTGTGATAAACAGGAGCTCAGTGTCTTTTTTTACAGTCATAATTACAAGTTTGAGCTGTTCGCCCAAAAGCAGAAAGCTGAAGATAGAAGGAGACAGAAATAAGAGAAAAGAGAGGCGGAGAGACAGTTAGAGAAGATGATTTTTCAGACAAAAGGTAGGTTATAGGCAGTCAAATGGCTTTTGTCTCTCAATTTTATGTTTTTTCATTCTTTTTTATCAACTGAACATGCCCGAGGGCAAATAAGACATATTGATGACGAGACAATATGAGAGATGTCTTGGAGATTTCTCAATTTCAAAGCTGAAGGACAGATTCAAACAATTGAAGTGACACATACTTTCTCTCATTCATTACATCTCTCTCTTATTCCTTTCCTGCCTTTTTTATATTTCTGATAAATCAATAGAGATACGCCTGAGGGCATGGTTTGCCATTCACCACGTAATAGGTAACTCTCTCTTTCTCTTCATTAACCAGATTTTGGCGGTCGTCATCGATGACTGTCTCTCGTAAAGATTTGATGTCAGCTTAGGAAGACACAACAACGACCATCACAATATCAAGCTGATGATGTTGAGGAATAAAGGTCTCATTACGTCATTAGACCATAGAACTTGCGGTTACCTTACCATGCCCTCAGGTGAAACAGAAAGCTTGCAACAGTTGCGGAACAGTGAGTGTGACATATAAAGTTTCTTAACTGATATATCATTATAATCATTTAATAACACCAACACCGAACTTTTCTTTTTCCAGCCCATCTCTACCATACTCTTCCTATTTCCTTCTCTCTCTGTCTTTGTTGTGAAAACGAACAGGTTCATAACCGCTATGGATGACATTTGCACGACAATGTTAACTCTCAATCCGAATCAACCAAAATGCTTGATGATGAAGCTGATTGTTTGTTATTAATTTGCAATTATGATTTTTAGTCTTTCTTCGTAGTTGTCGTCATTTGCCCTCGGGCCAAACGCAGGACGACTGTTCGATGAACTCCAACACAAAAAAAGAACCAGAACGGTTACTCATCACGGTCATCACATTTCACATGATTTGAGGAAGAAAAATAAGTTGAAAAATCTATGAAAATCGAAAAGCTAATTGAACTTCGTCAGACAAGTACCCGGATGAACTGTCCCTGTTCTCTTATCGCAAAAAGACTCCCTTTGATAATAACAATAAACTCAGCTTTATCACGAGAAATGGAGAAAAAGAAAGGCACAAAGTTTAGGAAAACATGGTGGAACAGAGAGAGAGAGAGATAGAGAGAGAGAGAGACGAACAGGAAAAAAAGAGTGAGAGAAAACGATAGTTAGCCTTAGTGCATAAAGATCTAGGTAATGATAGAAAACATACTTAACATATTGAGAGGGTTTTAGAGATATAAAGAAATTGGGTGCGTCAGGTTCAAGCGTCGTCACCGTATCACCGCATGAGTTGCAGTAGATGGAATAAGACGAAGAAGAAAAAAGTTCAAAAAGTTGAACAACAATCGTTGTCATGTATGGCGAAAACTGCTGACGCATATCATCGGTGGTAAAGACAGTATATAGCTTTTTCAATTAATCAAAAATCATAAAACGGAAGGAGAAGGTTCAAAAAATGGTTCGAAAGTTTGTTTTTAAAGATTAAAGCTGATGTTTTTAGTTCAAAATTAAAAAAATGAATCATAAAAAGAAGAAGTCAACGTGTTCATCACGTGAAAAATTAGAAAAAAAAAGAAAATTCGATTGAAAGCAGAAGACTATATTCAAGGAATAACATATTAGCGTATTTGCAATAAAATATATTTAAATGGATTAAAAGGTCATTTCAATATGTTAACTTCAGCTGCAGTCCGTAACAGCAGCAACATCACCGTTGTTGCACACACACAAGAGGTCGCTCTAGCTTGTTGGTAGTTTCACGAGGGCATGGTTGAGAGAGCAAAAAATGAGGCAAAAAAAATATTTTTTTGCATTCATATTTCTCTCTCTATCTCTCTCTCTATCTATCTTATTCATATTTTGTTTCCTTATTAAGAGATTTTTGTTTTCGAAATTATATGCACACAGCTCATCAACCGCTCAATGACAGATCATTCATTCAGTACGAATTCAATATGCAATATGATGCAAGTGAACGTGTGAACACTCACGTACATCATATTGCATACGGCACATTGCGTGAATGAGCCAAAAAATGATTTTTCATTCTCATTCTCACCAACCAATCGGATAATCAAAATACATATCAATATTATATAATTTGATGTTTTTTTTTATTTTTTGACTGGATAACATATTTTTTGTGTAGAAATTACACAGATTAGGACGTTTTGTCAACAAAATATGAATGGTTATAATATAATATATAGAATATGTAAATATGAGAGAATAACAGAGAGAGAGAAATGGAAAAAGGATTATGTGTATGTGTTCGTTGGTTGTATACAAGTAATATATCTTATCAATTATTCTAATTATTCTTAATTTGAATAGAAAGATGAAATCACCATTCTTCTCAGTTATCATCAACTCTTCTTCTTCTCTCTATTCTCTTCTCAAACCGTTTAGTTATACAATAAGCTCGGTGAGATACAAGCATATACTCTACTAAACGGAAAAGCAATAGATGAAGCTGATGCTATACGGAAATGATTAAATGGAAAAGGTGCTTGTAATATAGAGAGAGAGATTGAGAGAGTATTTAGGAAACTTGAGATAAAAACTGAATAAAATCGTACAAAATGTGAAATCGTACAGCTGAGATGGGTTGTCCTTGGCAAAATCTTCAGAAAGAACAAACTGATCATGTGATTTTGGGTTTTTTTTTCTTTTCTTCACTAAGGCAAAAGACTTGAGAGATTAAAAAACAGAGAAAATGAGAGATTGTTGAATAAGACGTTTGAAGCTTAACTGTGGTATGGGAGAGGAAGTAACTTGACATGCAAGCTGAAGCTGCAAAATCTAAAATTAGTAGAAGCTTCGTTTTACCATTCATTAGTCGACAGTAATTGGAGACGAATGGATGCAAGGCTCGAAAAATTAAAACTTTAACTTTAAAATCTTTTTTTTTGTGTGTGTGTGCCTTTAGCACAAGAGGTGATGATGAATGCAACCGCTTGCCGTGGCTGTTCGCCGTGTAAATGAAATTCTCAAATGTCGCGCGAGGCACGTGTCATTTCACGTGAATCATGTCAGTTATGCAAACACACATTCAG